TCTCTCTTTCCATGTCTCCAGTTGATGATACCTTTCTCTCGGGTGCTTTAGATGGTACTGTTCGACTTTTGGACTTGTAATCTCAGAATTGCCACGTAGGCTTTATGTTAATTTTTCTTTTTATTTCAATCTAATAACTTATACTTCTATACTACTGACGTATTCTCCTTATCGATTGTGTTTTTTACACTTCTTTTGATGTAATCTACTTTCTTTGCTAAGTTCAACCCATATAACCTTATCGAATGAGGTATTCATTTTGCCTTTTAATATGTATTGCAACCCCAACTATTATTTATTTCCTCGACTCTTAAATAACATCGACTGAATTCACCATCCTGAACGAATTCCTTCGCAAATGTTTTAATTTTGGATACTTTCCATTTTCTGAATTACGGTTACAATTTTTCCTCGTGGGAGCGCAGAATTACACTTTTGCTTTACTTAGATATGAAATTCAGTATTTCGCCCTTTAAGTCCTTAACACGCCTCTTTAAGCTACAATCCTTTTAGTCCATTATTGGCTTCACGGCATTTGTTCATAGTGTTCGGCGTTAATCCTTAATCTTTTTTACAGCCACGTATATCTTGTTTTACTAAAATAGGGGACATCTGCTAAAACATTGTGATTAATTCTGTTGGTTTAGCGTTTTCTCCATCGGATGTAAATGTGTGAACAGTAGAGCCTAGTTAAAACACCGACCCTATACCCTATTTCTTTTTGAAATCTCTGTTTAAGTCTTTTCCAGTTGCGTTGCACAGCGCAAACACATTTTGGAAATTTTGGATAATACTTGAATCAACGTGGCGAGAGGGTATCGTAGAGGCTGTCATATCAGCAGCACTTTGTCATTTCTTTCTTTCAACGAAATCAATCGGTGCGATTGATCCTCACGTCACTAGGTGTACTCTAGTGAGAATCGATCTCGTGACATCCAATCTGTCAGGTGTAAGCCTTGACCGATTCTTAAATTGGTTTGAACAGAAACATGTCCAAGGGTCTGTCAAAGTGAATAACCACTTTGAGGACAAGACAGAGGCATCCTTCCCAGTTTTCTCACTTTCAAAGGTGGTGAGCCCTTTATTAGAAAGTCGAAATCGTGACTACGTAGCTGGGTAGATCTACAAAGGGTGGTTTTCGAAAGTGTCTGTAGAAAATATGAAAACTTTCATTTCAAGGAATGTCGTATGTATATCGTAGTGAAGAAAGTAGAAGTGGAGATAAATAAATTGGGAAATTGAGAGAAATCAAGACTGGCATATTTTATTCAAATTGATAGTATGTTTCTCGCTTTTTGCTACTTTTAGGGAGTGATGCATGTGGCCGGACGTCCGACAGCAGCTTTCGATCCAGAGGGTCTGGTTTTCGCAGCAGGAATCAACTCCGAGTATCTCAATCTCTATGATTTGCGTTCATTTGACAAAGGTCCATTCGCTACCTTCAAATTGCCCGCATCAGAGGCCCCAGGGACGGAATGGACTAGTCTTAAGTTTTCACCTGATGGTAGAAGTATCCTCATTTGTACGAACGGTAATTTCTTGCGACTAGTTGACTCCTTCAATGGTGCTCATCTGCATTCATTTAAAGTACGTTCTTATATTTTATTCGATTATTGTGTTGTTATCGACATTGTTTTCAGAACAAGAGATCTCGGGTATTATGGAATGTAGACAAGTTAGGATTGTGTGTTGAACCTGGTATTACGGACCAATCTAGAATAGCACTTAATAACGTCGGTTGAAATATTTGTAAGAATCTGCTCATACTTAGGCTTAGGCTTATTCCTTCAGGGAAACGCGGATGTTTTGAAAGACTGACAGGGAAAAATAGCCCTTTCCAAAGCACCAGTCCTAGAGATGTGTTTGACGGCGAATATTTTGGGCGATTAGACAAAATGAGGGAAATGTGGGAACAGTAGGAAGAAGAGTCTGTCATTACACAATGCGAATGGAAATATGATTATGCTCTGCCGAAACCTCGCTGCGCCAAGTGAAGTTGACTGTTATGTCTTTTATTCAACTGATGATCAACCAGTAAGGCTATCGTCTGAAAATTTGTCAAATTGTCCAAAAATGTAGAATTTTTCATCGTGGGAAAACAATTGAAAATGAGTAACTGGAAAGTCCATATAGTGATGATGTGGAGGAATCGAAGCGATATTTAAAATGAAGCCGGCCTATCACAGCCTTTTATTTCGATTCGTGCTGTTAATTACTTCACTTTCCAAAGTTGCATTTTCAGGATTCGTCACCTGGGTTGCTAAACCAATTCTTTCAATGATGACCTGTGTTTATTGACGCGTTGATTAATTAATTAAGTTAGCAGCTGTTCCCTCCCTAATTTATGTTTTTCAAAGATTGAATAAGTAGAACGATTACATTTTTTTGCTTTTCAACTTGTTCCTATATTCCGTACTTTCATTTATCTGTCGCCTTTATCTAGGTGTCTAATAACGTAGAAAAGCAAACCTTGGACGCCTGTTTCACACCCACAAGTCAGTATCTGATATCTACTTCCCCAGATTCGATGCTCCATGTCTTTTCAGTAGAAATGGGTGCCCCAATGGCTCAGTTGGCAACGTATGAAGCTGCGAGTAAGATGGTGGGACCACAAGCACGAATCAACTGCGTGGCTTTCAATCCGAGGTTTGCCATGATAGCAACAGGATCCATGCAAACTTGCTTCTGGTTACCGAATATTGAAAAAGAGTAGGGTTCGCTCTCCTCTCCCTTTCTCTATTTTGTACTCATTGTGTATTAAAATGTCTCCCTGATAATTCTCGGCTTTTCAGTTGAATCATTTCACCAAGAAAGTGGAAACATAATTATATGGTAAAGAAACTCATGGAAAAGGCGAGTGAATGGTTTATTTATTTGCGATATAGGGCTGAGAAGGGAATGCAAAACAATCCTGTATTTTTAGTAGCAGATATCAAGTGTTTTGGTCGGACAATACGAAAGTGCCTGGAGAAACCCCAATTTATGGGCCTAAAAGCATTAAACCTGAGGTCTGTTAATGTGTATGCAAGACTCCTAGTGAAGCACTGTTGGAGCATGGCTGCTTTATAAGGCAATGTATCCGAAACAGCAGGTTTCCCATTAGGCAATTAAATTAGCTTTCAAGGGTTATGAAAGGGTCATTTGCACAAAGGCGTTTATTTGTGAATGAGATTTGTGTCTCCAGTTTGTCTCAGCCTAATCAAAATACGGTTACATGCCCGTTCGAATATTAAGACCGAAACTTCATCCTCACCACTGTTACAGCCTTTGATTGTATTCATCCTAGGAATATTTTCGGTAGAATTAATAGATGGCGTTGGAGAATGTGCCAACAAGTTAGAATCATACACGAGATTTCGGTATAGCCGAGTTCTACTTTGCCAAG